AACTCATCAAGGAGCCCATTCATGCCAGGCTGCTTGTAGATATTGTCTCATTTAATCAACGCAATGACCTGTTGAAGTAGAAAATAACATGCCCATTTTACCGATGAGGAAAGTGAGCCTCTGATGGATGAAGTAAGAGTGTGTCATCACCGTTACATGACAGAGCCCTAATCCCAGCCCCTTCCTGCATGTCCCACGGCTTCTAATTTATTTCATCCTTCTTCTCAATGCCTGTTTTCTCTCTCTTGTTTTTGTTCTTTACCTTGTTTATGAGCTCATTCCAATTTCTTTATTTACCTCTGTATGAGTTACAGGTTTTCCTCTCGGCCATTTTCATTCCCCTCTTCCCCAGACCTCACCTCTGGCCTCTCAGGCACCTCCTAACCCCCAGCCTGGCCAGTTGGTGTTTAGAAGCAGGTGCACTGTACTTGAAGGACAGAAATGACCCCATGTTGCCACCACAGATGAGCGAGAAGCCGTGCAGAAGAAAACCTTCACCAAGTGGGTGAATTCGCACCTGGCCCGGGTGACGTGCCGGGTGGGAGACCTGTACAGTGACCTCCGGGACGGGCGGAACCTCCTGAGGCTCCTTGAGGTGCTGTCAGGAGAGATACTGGTGAGCTGTGGTCACGGAGGGAGGAGGGGCCCTGAGAACAGCAGTTAAGGGGACCAGCTGCGAGAGTTGCCCTTAAAAGAGTGACAGCACAGAGTGGGAAGCAGGGGCTGCCCTCTACTCAGAGGATGGTTTTGTTCTGAGAGGCTTTGCTACGTGGATTAAATAAGAGCATTGCTTCATGGAGATTGGAACAGTGGCCCCATTGAAAACATTTCTTTTCCCACCCACTCTGGGTGCAATTAATTCCCTTGGGAATCTTAATCTGCCCCAAGCCTTATCTGCAACCTCGGCTTTGGCTCCATGAACTCTGGCTCAGCCTTAGGACTGTTCCTGAGGAGGCCGTGGGGAAGGTTTGCAAAGCAGGGCCCCAGAAAGGATAGGAGGGAAGGCAAAGGAGGCCCTTGGTCCATGCCGTTCTGTCTCCTGTCCCTCAACAGCCAAAGCCCACAAAGGGCCGCATGCGGATCCACTGCCTAGAGAATGTGGACAAGGCGCTGCAGTTTCTGAAGGAGCAAAAAGTGCACTTGGAAAACATGGGCTCCCATGACATTGTGGATGGAAACCACCGCCTGACCCTTGGGCTGGTCTGGACAATCATCCTTCGATTCCAGGTACCCCACCCCCAACCCCTAGGGTCACTCAGGTGCCTCATGCACCGTTGCTGCCCTGCAGATGGTCACTGTCAGTCCACAGCGTGGTCAGTCCAGACATGGAGGGTCAAGAACCTTGTGTAACAATTTGCGGTTGTTGTGATATCCAGGCCCCAACTCAGGGACTCTGCCTCAAACGGGTAGGCAACAGTTGGAGGTATTGTCAAACTTCTGTGGAGAGTTCCCTGTGACCTGGTCTGTGTTCTAGTCACATGCAGTAGGACCACATATTGGTCCACAAGGGACTGGACATTTTACCTGCTGGTCCTTAAGCACCAAGAGTTTCAGAACTGCACAGGGGTCTGGTCATCAGCCCACTTCTGCGCCTCAGCCTCTGCTTGCCTCCCTCTAAAGAACAGTCACCTACTCCCTCTTGCTCTGGGCGTAGTCAGCCCAGATGGCCTAACACCATCACAACTCTCCGGGTTCCTCCTCACCTGGTGTAAGCTCCTCTGCTGCTTCAGCCTCAGCAAAGCTGTGAGCCCCAGCTGTAAAACCCAGCCCTCATCCCCCCGCAGTCCCCCTGGAGGAGCCAGCATCATCCTTCAGGTTGAGGCACTGGCATTCTTCTGGCTTCCGGCCCCATTCGATGGCCTCAGATCCCTTTGACCTGGTGTTCTGGGGTCACTAGCCCAGGAGGAAAGGTCCCAGGTCTCAACATCCCAATTCTAGGTGTCTAATGCTTCCCACTAGGTATTTCTGAGTATCTCCAGTAACTTCAGGAGCCCCTGTGCCGTGAGTGAGGACTTTCCCTCCTTTGTTCTCAGATCCAAGACATCAGTGTGGAGACAGAAGACAACAAGGAGAAGAAGTCTGCCAAAGACGCCCTGCTGCTGTGGTGCCAGATGAAGACGGCAGGGTGAGGCTGCCCAGGGGGCGTGGCCTCGGCAGGTGGGCGCACCGAGGCTGTGCGGTAAAGGCGGGATGGGCTCCAGGAACCACAAGCTGGGGATCTGTCCTGAGTCACAGACCTGGGCTTGGCCCTACTCAGTATTCTTCCCGGCCCATTTACAGATATCCCAATGTCAACGTACACAACTTCACCACCAGCTGGAGAGATGGGCTGGCATTCAATGCCATTGTGCATAAGCACCGGTGAGAAGGCGAGCAGTTATGAGGCATGAACATCTGGAGAAAAGATAGGGCATGGGGGCACCACACTGCACAGAGGGCTGCGTGGGAAGTGCAAGGGCGGGAGCACTGGGTGTGGGCTTGGGGTGCCTGGTTCTGGACAAAATGGAGTCAGTGACTTAGAGATTAGACAAGGTAGCTTCACTTTTCCTCTTTAGGATCTCATATGCTTGTGATATTCCATATTCCCTCCCCACGCAGGCCAGACCTACTGGATTTTGAGTCCCTGAAGAAGTGTAATGCACACTACAATCTGCAGAATGTTTTCAATCTGGCTGAGAAGGAACTGGGACTTACGAAGCTGCTGGATCCTGAAGGTGGGGCAGAGCTCTGTAAAAAGATGCTGTGAGATAGGGACAGAAGGTGGATGAGGGGGTGCGGGGGCTGAGAATGGGGAGAACGGGGAGTGACTGCCAGTGGAGACAGGGTTTCCTTTGGGGGTGATGAGAATGTTCTGGAATTAAATAGTGATGGCTGTACAACCTTATGAATATACTAAAATCCACTGAACTGTATACTTGAAAAAGGTGAGTTTTATGGTGTGAAAATTATATCTCAATTTAAAAAAATGAAATCTATAGGAAGAAAGGCAGCCTTATGGTGAGCGAGCCTTGGGATAAGGCTCTGTCCCAGCCCCACCATGGAGTAGCTGTGCGACTTAGAGCCAGCCGCTTGGCCTCTCTGTGGCTCAGGGTCTTCATCTCTAAAATGAGAACATTGGTCTACATGGTCTCTAAGGGCCCCTCTTATTCTAAAATTCCAGGGTTCTCAACCAAGCTACATGGCCTTGAGGTCTCACCAAGCAGTGGCCCTGTGACCCTGACCCTGCTCATTGGCCCCTGTGGTTCTGATCTTAATGCCAGTGAGACTGGTAATGGTGCTGGGCTCTGACTTTGCACCTGGCACTGCACTTGACATACTTTAACTAATTTAATCTTCATAACACCCTGTGAAATTGGTGCCATTATTGTCCTCAGTTTATGCAAGAGAAGACAGGCCCTATAGTAGGGTTAAATGACCTGCCCAAGGTCACACAGCTGGTGGAGATGAGATGCAAATTCAGGCAGCCTGACTCCAGAGCCTGTCTCCTCCTCCACCATCTCTGGCAGAGCAGAGAGCAGTCTTGGTGTAGCCAGGAAAGGGGAGGAGGAAAGAGCCAGATGGCCTCCCTGTGGGAGCCGCCTCAAGCCTCCTGGGCCAATTTGGGTTTGGTTATTTTCTACCTGTTTTCCATCCCACCTGTAGCCCCACCTCTGTGCTGTTTTAGTTGAGGATGACAAATATCAGCTACCTAGTGACAGAAGTAGGCCTGGGAGAGCATTTGGGAAGCACCGCTATGATAAAGAGCATTTAAGTAAAGCCAAGTAGGCTATGACTTTCAGAGGTGATTTCAGCGGCTCCTGCCTGTGGGTTTTCAGAGGTGGTTAAGAGGCTGCCAGTCCCATAGCTTCCTTTTAGGTGGCTTGGAATCTGGCCTAAGAGAACCTAAGGATTTCAACTCATAGTCAGCCTTGGTCCTGACAGTAGAAGCTGATTCACCTGAAGGGCACTCACGTCCTTGGGCCCACAGCTGAACTTTGGGATTGAGGTCAGACATAGCTGTGACCATGTCCTGAGATGGCCCTGAGAACCGGCCTCTGTCCCTGCTGCTGGGGCTCCCCAGGCCCAGCTTCTGAACATCCTGGGTTCAGGATTCTCAGTCTGTCCCAGCCATCTTGCTGACCCTGAGTCTACCGACTTCTCAGACATCTTCCCAGCCCATAAGTCCATGATCTGTCCCCAAATGGGAATGTAGTTTTTTTTCTTGCCTTTCTTTCCCCAAACAGCTCATTTTGGCCTCCATTGGAAACAGAGGGTAGAAGCCTCCTGCGCTTCTGGGGTTTGTACTCTGCTAGTTTCTAGGAGGGGGGAAAAAAGCCTAGCTTTTTCATGCCCTTGTGGTTCAAATGGTTTGTCATTTTGCTATGAAGGGAGCTAGAAAGGTGTCAGGGCTGGGAGGGCCTGTGGTTGACGTAAGTGTCCAGGCAGCAGGTGTACTTCAGAGCAGCAGGTTCCTAATCTCTGCCTGACCTGAGTGGTATGTCTTCTCAGATGTGAATGTGGACCAACCAGACGAGAAATCAATCATCACCTATGTGGCTACTTACTACCACTACTTCTCCAGGATGAAGGCTTTGGCCGTGGAAGGCAAAAGAATTGGCAAGGTACACCCCACACAGGCTGCAGGCAGAAGGTCGGCCTGGGGTCGTCCTCCCCTAAAGCAAGCTGAGGTGGAGCTGCAGGACTGGGCTGGGACCCCANCGCCTGGTGGAGAAGTACGAGTCCCTGGCCTCCGAGCTGCTACAGTGGATAGAGCAGACGATTGTGACCCTCAATGACCGGCAGCTGGCCAACTCCCTGAGTGGGGTCCAGAACCAGCTGCAGTCCTTCAATTCCTACCGCACAGTGGAAAAGCCACCCAAGTAGGTGCCCTAGGCCGCACCCTGCTCACCCACCCAGCGCTGTGCTCCCGAGAGAACCCTAAATTAGGGCAGCCTTTTGGGAGGGAAATTCAGCAGTGCATAAATGCAGTTGAAGCTCATTTCCCCCAACTCAAAGTGCCAGAAGCCATTCCAAAGTAAACATTTTTAAATGATTACCCATTAAAAAAAAAATCATGCTGTGAAAATGATGGCGATGGCATGTAGAGTGGCAAATAAGATTGCTGGTCACAGTGTCACAGCATCCCTAGGCCAACTTAGGGACGGGTGGGTTTGGAACTGACAGGCAGGTCATAACTTGCACATTGCAAAGGTTGTTACCGTGTATATATTTTAACAATTAACTGTTTTCAAGTGTGGAATTGCTGTTAGGCAATAATACAGTACATACTAAAACTTCCATGTTTTTCTGTTACTGAGCTCTTTTGCAATTAATATGTTTCAGCTCCAAAACTAATCAAGAAAACACCTGACCTATTAGACATCCCAGGGAATGATTTGGGATGTGCCCCTTCATCCAGGAAGTCCTCTTCTGGGCATTGAACAAAGATGTAGTTTCAAGGATGTTTACTAGGATGACCTTTGTAGAAGAAAAGTAATTCATGGGACAGCCACTGAAAGTAACATTGAAAACATGTGCTTATTAACATGAAAAGATGTTCATGAAAAATAAGTGAAGAAACAGTTTTCAAACAGTTGTGGACAGTAGAGAGCAAAGGGCTAAACGTCCAGGTTCAAAGTACCTGAGTTCAAATTCTGACTCTGCCCCCTAGCAGTTGTGAGTGTTGAACACCTCTGAGCCTCAGTTTTCTCATTTGGAAAATGGGGGTAATAAGACAATATCAATAACAGTGAGAACTCAGTGAGAGAGTTCATGGAAAGCCCGGAGAATTGGGCCTGGCGGGAGGCGAGTGAGTCTTTGACCAACGTTGGCTGTGGTTACAACGATCCCATCTGTGTAAAACAGAGATGACGTATGTTGTGCCTGCCAGGGGGTAACAGTGGTCGTTTCTATGTGGTTTTCACTTGTTTTAAAATTACACTTTTGGGTCTGACCTTATTTTCTGGCTTTACCCAAAGAGTATGTATTGCTTTTACAAGGAGAAAAGCAACACAGGACATTTCATTTGGAAACGTAAAAAGTTCCTATGCTCCTAGTGGCCTTTGACTTTGCCCTGATCTGGCCTCCTGCCTCAGGTTCACCGAGAAAGGGAACTTGGAAGTCCTGCTCTTCACCATCCAGAGCAAGCTGCGGGCCAACAACCAGAAGGTCTACACGCCCCGTGAGGGCCGGCTCATCTCTGACATCAACAAGGTCCTCAGCCTCCCTTCCTGTCCGCTGCACATCACACTCCTGGCTCCAGCCCTGACCCCACACTCCTCCTGGCTGCCCGCGACCCTTGGTGTGGACGGGACTCACACTCCCCTCTCCTCCATCTTCCTCTCCATGAGAGTTCAGAGTAGACTACAGCCTAGTCCCTATCTGGTTCCTCATGTCCCAACCCCCTCTCCCTACTTTTATTTTTTTACAGACAATATAAGATTAATAAAAGTAATAGGATTCATCCTCAGTCCCACCACCACAAAACAAATCCGGTGGCTTCCACTATTCTCTAGTCCCCTCTGTCTAGCCATAAGCAGATGTGGTTTTCCTACAGCTCCAAAGTACTTACGCTGCCCACGTCTCATGCTGCCATGCACAGCTGTCTACAACCACATTCCACAGATCCACTGACCAAGATTCCCTGGGACTCACC